GTGCAGAGGCAGATCAGCTATTGGAATGTCTGACCTTCCCTCCAGAGTGGCAGGCATGTTGAATTTTGGTCACTGTCTGGAGGGACTGTGAGTTATTTCTGTGTCAGATAAAGTTAACTGGACAGTATGGCAGAGCCACTACTAGGAATATTGCTTTCAATGGCCTTACTGCCTGTGGTGATGGCATTCAGCATGAGGGCTCTGGTTAACCACAGGATATATATAAGGTGCCTTACAGTGTTGGGGAGGATAGGAGTCTGAACACCAGTCCGTCCCTAGCTGTACTACAGCCCATATTCTTAAATGTTGCCATTGGCCATGCTGTGAGGTCTGTGAGATTATTCAAGTCACATGAGATATCGTAGTCCTCATCTAGTTTTGAGACAGCTGAAGTAATAGACAAGTTCTCTCGTTCCAAATTAAAACAGACTTGTGCAAGAAATGAATCTTCTTTGCAGCAGACATTCGTGCATGGCTACCCGTACAAAAAGCTAGTCACGTAAAAGTACCATCTCAAAGCCTAATGTAGTGGGGAAGGTTTGGAATGGGCTCATTTTTCGCTGAGACGTGGGCTCAGTTTTCACTGCGGGCCTGTTTGAATGAAAGATTTGCAAAGCTTGGTGGACTATTTGTAGTTAATAGACTTTTTTTAAAGCTGGCAATAACACTGAAATAACAAATTACAGTCCATCTCCTTGGATCTGACTGAGCTGTGAAAAGAGCAAACCTGGGGCTTCAGGCAGAGAGCAAAAGTGGCATTACAGCACCTTTATGCCTTCTTAGCTAGCGGCTCACCAGAGGTTGTCCTGAGTCATAGCTAATTTCAGTGGCTGCCAAAAGGCCAACAATAGCATCCACAGATTGCCAGAGTGCATCAGTGCTCCAGCCAGGCCCCTTCTGCCCTCAACTCCCTGTGCTGTGGCAGATGGACAGTGCCATAGAGTGAGCTACCGCTGCTATGTACCACCAGGTGAGTCTTATCTGCAAGGGGCGTCATCAGCAAACCACATAGGGGATGGCTGAAAAGCTGCTCTGTGCCACTAGAAGTTTAGAACGGTTAATTAGGAACCAGGACCTGCCCCTGTGAGTTTAGATTTTTGTTTGGATTACTTCTCTCACCTCTCGTATTATCCTTTTGCAGATGTTAAAATCTAGTGTGATGGGGAGGGGTTGGCAGGTGCTTTTTATTTTATTATTTTCTGAGGCCGATTCTCTTTAGGTGCCTATGTCCAAAATTTAAATCCTCACACCCCCAACTCAGCTGTGGCCTAACCTTGTAGTGTCAGTACCCTACATTTCTACTGGTGAAGTCTCCTAAATATCTGCCAGTGGGTATATGCAAAGTCTCCTAAGTCCTGACGTTACCAAGCAGCTCACTATTTAACTTGTTCCTCATTGCCAGTGGTATCCTCTGCATAGACGTTCCCCCCATCCACCCACCACCACCTCCTCATGCTTGCACAGCCCAGTCTGGTAGATAAGTTCAGGAGCCACCCAATGCACAGGAATGGGGTGGGGGCACGCCTCAGAAATGGGGCTCATAATGCTATGTAATTACCATAATCTTTCCAACATGTCTGGGCCTCTCCCGTTCAGCTCTGGCCATATCTCATTTGCTGTCTTACATACATGCTTTGAAGCCAGAATCATGTCTTTGTACAGCATCTAGCACAAATCAGTGGAAGTGTTTCAACCAGCTCTAACAATAAGACTGAGGCATAGCTGGGGATGCCCAGATGTCCTAGCCACACGGTCACCGTCCTCCTGCCAACCCGTCCTCCCCCATAAACAGCCTGGGTCCAGTTTTCAAATGTAGGCAACTTAGGCCCCAACCTCACAACCATTAGACAAGTGATTAGCACAGATTAGCGAGTAGCTAGGGCTAGTGGGGGCTTAGCCTCCCTCTACCCTCCCACATCTGGGTCATTCCAACACTCGTGTACATGGCCCAGATTGGCAGGTGATGTACCAGCTTCAGGGGTGCCAGGGCCAGACTGGGTCTGAGCTGGCTGAGTCCCCAGCAGCAGGATCAGCCAGAACAACCCCCGATGCTGGTTGTGGGGAGTGAGATGAGTCCATGGAACCCCGGGGAGATGGTGATTCCATCTCTCCCCAGCCCAAGCAGAGATTGGGCTGGTGCCAGTGAAGGAGGCTGCAGCCAGACCGAGGGAAGACAGATGAGAAGGGGGAAGCGACTGCTGAGGCAGGGGCAAGCTACAGCCCTAGCCAGATGCAGCCACTGCCACACAGATCCCAGCTCCTTAAGCAGCCCTCCTGCCTGTCGCAGGGTCCTTGGGGGTATAACCTGGATTGT